CACCATCTTGTGATTCTACACCAGGCTCCATAACTTGCTTAGCTCCTACATCATCCAATCCACACATAAAAGTTTCTGACAAATCTACATGGCCTTCTTCGACTGGCAGATCTATTTCCTCTGACTGAACTTCAACTGGCAATTCTACATTCTCTGACTGAACTTCATTCCTCGCCATAGCTCTAGTAACAGCACATGCGGGGTATAAATCAATGTTTTTTACCATGTCTTGATCCAAAACCTGAGCTGTGTCTGAACTTTCATTACTAACTGAATCCACAGAAATCGTAGGTTCATCACACATAATAGGGTCAGGGCTGATTACTGAAACCTTTGGTTTAACCTCACCTCCAGCTAAATCATTTCCTAACAAAACATCAACACCAGACACCGGAAGTTGTGATCTAACTCCTACAACAACTGCTCCCGAAACAAGTTCTGACTTAAACTCTACAGTATGAGGAGGAACATGGACGACACCACATTCTTGCACCTTGCATGATTACACTTGTTCCTGTAAAAGTTTCTTCTGATAGAGGAACTATACCTTCCAGTATGAGAGTTTGTTATGCATCTGTATCACTGAGAATAGTGACTGCCTTTGGATCGCCACTACCTATCATGATCTCAGCTTTAGACATGAAAGGATCATAAGTTGCCTTAGACCTATCAATTTTCACTTCATCCTTGGACTCAACAACAGGTTTGTCCTGACTGAGTAAACTACTAGGTGTCTTACTAAACACTGCGGCGCAACGATGACTTTGGGGTCCCCAACTCTGAGTTTGATTTTTCCTACCATTACCATAGCTACCATGTCTGTTTTCCAGACTACCTGAGTTACTAGCTAAGTGAGATTTACCACTGTAACCTTGGTTACCACCATGACTTCTAGAATAACTGCTACACTGACCTTGAAATTGCTGACCTCGACCAGAATTGTAATTGGAATAACCCGTGAATGACTGACCACGACTTTGTCCACCATTATTGACAGACTTGTGATCGGACTGACCCTGCCACGATTGACCATAGGATGTCCGGTCAATCCCATAGCTTTGGTAACTGGACTGAAATTTTCGTTCTGGATAATTGTTGCCACTACCACGACCTCCGCCATGATAATCTCTAGACTGAAAATTCCTTGAAAATACACTTTTGTGAGTGAGTGTGTACCTATCTACTAATGTAGCCGCTTCCCGCCACGTTTTTACATCATGCTCATCCAAATACACCTTCACATCAGTTGAACTACACCTTTTGAGCTCTTTAATCAACATTAATTGTTTCAGTTTGTCATAGTTTCCACCTTCGTTCTCGGATCACAAGATCTGTCAAAATTAGACTCCTTGACCATACCAAACTCAACATGGGTTTGATTTTCATTTTTTTTGTAATTTCTGAACTTTTGTCTATATGCCTCTGGAACAAGTTCGTAAGCGCTTAAAATGGCTTGTTTAACAACTTCATACTCTGAACTTTCCTCCACAGATAAAGCTGCATAGGCCTCCTGAGCCATACCAACTAGCCCCACTTTGTAATAAAGAAGTCCAACAATGTTTAGGACACTTTAAATTTGTTGCTGTCTTTTCAAATTGAGCAAAAAAGTGTCTATTTCACTTTCGCGAAAGCGAGAAACAAATCTAATAAATTGGGCAGTGTTCTCTTCCTGTTCAACAAATCTACTTCTAGTCCTCCCTAATTCAAACCCTCTGCTTAGTTTTTCCATCTCGCGCTCATGCTCCCGCTGTTCCCGCTTTTCTTGTCTTTCAAGCTCATATCTCTCACGTTCATACCCATGTTCTTTCTCCACATATTCTTGTTTTTCTCTCTCTATATCTCTCTTTACTTTCAGCAATTCTATTTCCCTGTCAAATTGCATCTTAGCAACTTTCTCACTCTCAAATACATCCAATGTGTCTTTTTCCTGAACTAAGTTTTTGCAAACTGATTCTCCCCACAATACTTTCTGAATGACATCTTTTTTAGCTGTCTCATCTATTCTAATGTCGTGATACTCAGCTACTTGCTTAAGCTTTGCCTTTGACACAAATATACAACGTCACTCATAACAATATGTACACTTATGTAGCTAGCTACAAGACACAACATTGTTATATGTACACCTATGTAGCAAGCTACAAAACACGGCATTATTATATGTACACTTATGTAGCTAGCTACAAGAAAGAGCATTATTATGTGTACACTTATGTAGCCAGCTACAAGACACAGCATTATTATATGTACACCTATGTAGCAAGCTACAAAACACGGCATTATTATATGTACACTTATGTAGACAGCTACAAGACACAGCATTATTATGTGTACACTTATGTAGCCAGGTACAAGACACAGCATTATTATATGTACACCTATGTAACCAGCTACAAGACACATCATTATTATATGTACACCTATGTAGCCAGCTACAAGACACAGCATTATTATGTGTACACTTATGTAGCTAGCTACAAGACACAGCATTATTATGTGTACACTTATGTAGCCAGCTACAAGATATGGCTTTTTATATGTACACTCATGTAGCCAGCTGCAAAATAGGGCATTATTATATGTACACTTATGTAGCCAGCTACAAGACACAGCATTATTATGTGTACACTTATGAAGCCAGCTACAAGACACAGCATTATTATGTGTACACTTATGTAGCCAGCTACAAGACACAGCATTATTATGTGTACACTTATGAAGCCAGCTACAAGACACAGCATTATAATATGTACACCTATGTAGCCAGCTACAAGACACATCATTATTATGTGTACACTTATGGTGCAAGTTACAAGACACAGCATTATTATATGTACACTTATGTAGCAAGCTACAAAACACGGCATTATTATGTGTACACTTATGTAGCCACCTACAAGACATGGCATTACTATATGTACACTTATGTAGCCAGCTACAAGACAGGACATTTTTATATGTACACTTATGTAGCCAGCTACAAGACACAGCATTATTAAGTGTACACTTATGTAGCCAGCTACAAGACACAGCATTATTATGTGTACACTTATGTAGCCAGCTACAAGACACGGCATTATTATATGTACACCTATGTAGCCAGCTACAAGACACAGCATTATTATGTGTACACTTATGGTGCAAGTTACAAGACACAGCATTATTATATGTACATCTATGTAGCAAGCTACAAAACACGGCATTATTATGTGTACACTTATGTAGCCACCTACAAGACATGGCATTACTATATGTACACTTATGTCGCCAGCTTCAAGACACACCATTTTAATATGTACACTTATGTCGCCAGCTACAAGACACACCATTATTATATGTACACTTATGTAGCCAGCTACAAGACATGGCATTATTATGTGTACACTTATATAGCCAGCTACAAGACAGGACATTATTATATGTACACTTATGTAGCCAGCTACAAGACAGGACATTTTTATATGTACACTTATGTCGCCAGCTACAAGACACAGCATTATTATGTGTACACGTACGTAGCCAGCTACAAGATATGGCATTATTATATGTACACTTATGTAGCCAGCTACAAGATACAGCATTATTATATGTACACTTATGCAGCTAGCTACAAGACACAGCATTATTATATGTACACTTATGTAGCAAGCTACAAGATACAGCATTATTATATGTACACTTATGTAGCCAGCTGCAAAATAGGGCATTATTATGTGTACACTTATGTAGCGAGCTACAAGATACCGCATTATTATATTTACACTTATGTAGCTAGCTACAAGACACAGCATTATTATATGTACACCTATGTAGCCAGCTACAAGACACAGCATAATTATATGTACACTTATGGAGCTAGATACAAGACACAGCATTATTATATGTACACCTATGTAGCCAGCTACAAGACACAGCATTATTATGTGTACACTTATGTAGCAAGCTACAAGACACAGCATTATTATATGTACACTTATGTACCCAGCTACAAGACAAAGCATTATTATGTGTACACTTATGCAGCCAGCTACAAGACACAGCATTAATATGTGTACACTTATGTAGCCAGCTACAAGACATGGCATTATTATATGTACACTTATGTAGCCAGCTGCAAAAAAGGGCATTATTATATGTACACTTATGTAGCCAGCTACAAGATACAGCATTATTATATGTACACTTATGTAGCCAGCTACAAGACATGGCATTATTATATGTACACTTATGTAGCCAGCTGCAAAATAGGGCATTATTATATGTACACTTATGTAGCCAGCTACAAGATACAGCATTATTATATGTACACTTATGTAGCCAGCTACAAGACAGGACATTGTTACATGTTATAACAGATTTAAAGCTATCGCATATTATTCTTTTAATATACACTTTCAGAGCTACAGATAAGCAGCGTACTGGGCGTAAAATACACCCCCCCCCCCCCCCCCCCCAAAAAAAAAATAATTTTTTTATTCAAAATCCAATTACTTTCAATTAACTTGCGTACAGAAACGCATGCATCAAATGAAAAAATCAAATTATAAAAAAACAGCACACATTTAATACCCAATGAAGCTTTTCAGCATGCGTACAAAGGAGTTAATTTCCGAAACACACTTACGAGCTAATTTTCTTTCCGAGTCAAGCCTATATATTTAGAACAGTTATATACATCTAAAACATTATTTCTTTTTTTAAATCTTAAATTGTTCACTAATTTTGGTAAAACCCCAATAGAGTGATGAATAGATGAGTGAAACAAATATATGTAACCCAATGAAAAATGTAATAACCCAATTAAAATAGAAACGCTAGAGTAAAAACTCAATTTCTACTCAACTGCACTTTCTAGCTCTGGGTAGTTGCATGTTGGTATCAATATTAATGCAAAAGGAAGCGGGTGTATGCTGAATTGACTCTGGTCAAGCAGAGTCCTGCAACTGAAGCACTGACTATTCATACAATCAAGTATGGTATGTAATGGCACGTATACACACCTGAAGAAACATATGATGTCCTGGTGTCTTCTGGCAGGCTATCTAATCTGGCTTGTGTTGTTTCAGGTCGTTTGTCATTGTCACTCTTGCTTTTCCCCTCCATCCTAACTGAGACATTCTGAATTTTGAAGAGGAATGAGAATTTATTTGATGGGAGTGTATGGAACATTCAGCAATCTTTTAGTATTGTAACTACAAAGTGTGTGTCCGTGTGTTTTGTGAGTGTTGGGGTGTGTGTGTATGTGTGTATGCATGCGTGTGTGCTGGTGTGTGTGCATTTCTGTGTATGCTGGGGTGCATGCACGTGTGTTGGGGTGTGTGTAGGTGCATTCATGTGTGCTTGTGTGTGTGCTGGTGTATGTGTTTGTGTGTGTAGGGAGGAGGTGCATGCATGTTTGCTTGCGTGTGTGTGTGTGCTACCTATAATCACTATTATTTAGACTGTCTGGGTTAACCTCTTTAGTTGAAACTATTTCCGTCAGGAACCTGGGTTTCACACTTGCCTGTTTCTTGACCTTTTTATCCTCTACTGAAGCTTGTAGCTCATTGATTTCAGCCCGGAGTTGTTGTTTTCTGTGGGATCTAGTCAGGCGCTTATCTTCAGCGAGGAGACGTTCCTTTTCCCTCTCCAACTCTGATTCTGAACTAGAACTCTCTGTTGAGTCGCTGGCATGCTCCCTCTGACTTCCTTTAGATATGATCCCCGCCGACAGATCGCCCGTCTCACTGATCTCTGCAGTGTCCATTTCAACAGAGTGTTCACCTTTGGAGTAAAATCGTTTATAGTTTTCTAGTATCTGTGACAAATTTCGCATTTTAACAGTTTTTCTACACAATAAAAGTTGGGGCCGTGTCACAATTTCGGAATAATTAAATGTTGCAGATGACAATTATTGACTCCTCTCTATGTGATTTGCGCACTTAGCTTTTATAGTTATTACAGGAAAGGGATGAATGGAAATCTGCAACATTACCGGAGCAACACGAACAAGTGAAAGGCATGGTCGTCGGTAATTAAGCACTTTGCCTTTAAGCAAACTATAACAACGTGAAAAGGTAGCAAGTATATTTAATCTACTTCTAGTCCTCCCTAATTCAAACCCTCTGCTTAGTTTTTCCATCTCGCGCTCATGCTCCCGCTGTTCCCGCTTTTCTTGTCTTTCAAGCTCATATCTCTCACGTTCATACCCATGTTCTTTCTCCACATATTCTTGTTTTTCTCTCTATATATCTCTCTTTACTTTCAGCAATTCTATTTCCCTGTCAAATTGCATCTTAGCAACTTTCTCACTCTCAAATACATCCAATGTGTCTCTCCTGAACTAAGTTTTTGCAAACTGATTCTCCCCACAATACTTTCTGAATGACATCATTTTTAGCTGTCTCATCTATTCTAATGTCGTGATACTCAGCTACTTGCTTAAGCTTTGCCTTTGACACAAATATACAACGTCACTCATAACAATATGTACACTTATGTAGCTAGATACAAGACACAACATTGTTATATGTACACCTATGTAGCCAGCTACAAGATACAGCATTATTATGTGTACACTTATGTAGCTAGCTACAAGACACAGCATTATTATGTGTACACTTATGTAGCTAGCTACAAGACACAGCATTATTATATGTACACTTATGTAGCCAGCTACAAGACACAGCATTATTATGTGTACACTTATGTAGCTAGCTACAAGACACAGCATTATTATGTGTACACTTATGTAGCTAGCTACAAGACACAGCATTATTATATGTACACCTATGTAGCCAGCTACAAGACACAGCATTATTATGTGTACACTTATGTAGCCAGCTACAAGATACAGCATTATTATATGTAAACTTATGTAGCCAGCTACAAGACATGACATTATTATATGTACACTTATGTAGCTAGCTATCTGGCTACATAAGTAAATAATAAAATCCTATATTCCATCTAGCTATATGAGTGTACAGATATTGATGCCTTATCATGCTTATACTGCAGCTGGCTACATAAGTGTACATATACTAATGCCCCATCTTGTATCTGGCTACATAAGTAAATAGACCCGTGAAGATTCCGGGGTAGAATAGGTCTTCAGCAACCCATGCTTGCCGTAAAAGGTGACTATTCTTGTTGTAAAAGGCGACTAACGGGGTCGGGTGGTCAGGCTCGCTGACTTGGTTAATGCATGTCATCGATCCGATTTGCGCGGATCGATGTTCATGATATTAATCACTGGATTGTCTGGTCCAGACTCGATTGTTTACAGACTACCGTCATATAGCTGGAATATTGCTGATTGCGGCGTTCAACAACAAACCAAACCAAAATAAGTAAATGATAAAATCCTTTATTCCATCTGGCTACATGAATGTACATATATTAATGTCTTATACTGCAGCTAGCTACATAAGTGTACATATACTAAGGCCCCATATTGTATCTGGCTACATAAGTGAATCATTAAATCCTATATTCCATCTGGCTACATAAGTGTACATATATTGATGCCTTATACTGCAGCTGGCTACATAAGTGTACATAAGTGTAGATCTTGTGGCTTGTAGATAAGGCATTATCAAAAGTACACTTATGTAGCCAGCGGCAAGAGAGGGCATTATTATATGTACCCTTATGTAGCCAGCTACACGATCAGGCATTATGAGATGAAGCCAGCTACAAAATAGGGCATTATTATATGTACCCTTATGTAGCCAGCTACACGATCAGGCATTATGAGATGTACACCAATGTAGTCAGCTGCAAGATACAGCATTATTATATGTACACCAATGTAGCCAGCTACAAGATAGGGCATTATTATATGTACACTTATGTAGCCAGCTACACGATAGGGCATTATTATGTGTACACTTATGTAGCCAGCTACAAGACACAGCATTATTATATGTACACTTATGTAGCTAGATACAAGACACGGCATTATTATATGTACACTTATGTAGCCAGCTACACGATAGGGCATTATTATGTGTACACTTATGTAGCCAGCTACAAGACACAGCATTATTATATGTACACTTATGTAGCTAGCTACAAGACACAGCATTATTATATGTACACTTATGTAGCCAGTGACAAGACAGGACATTGTTACATGTTATAACAGATTTAAAGCTGTCGCATATTATTCTTTCAATATACACTTTCAGAGCTACAGATAAGCAGCGTACTTGCGTAAAATACCCCCCCCCTTCCCCCCCCCCCCCCCCCTTCCCTCTGCTATCGTAAAGAATCATCATGTTATAGCATTTCTTTGGGAATCTGGTATTTGGCATTTTAAGCAATTTTATCCAATATTTTATTACTTTTATGTAACTGAATATATACATTGGGTATCTCCCAGATTCCCCGTAAACTGTAACATTTGGAGTGTTGGAATTTACTCCTAGAAATCTTTTATACGCAAATAGATGAACCTTCTCTATTGTATCATAGTTCTCTAGGCCCCAGACTTCAGCACCATAGAGTAAAATAGGACTGATCTTCGTGTCGAAAATCTTAGAGAATGTTTCAAAGCTAATATTTCCAAGGGGTTTTAGGTTTTGTAAAATGCCAATTAAAATCTTTTTGGCTTGTAGTGCGGCTTTGTTGCAATGCAGTGACCAAGTAAGTCGATTTGTAAAATGTACCCCCAAATATTTGTAACTTCTTACAACCTCAAGTTTTTCACCTTTATATAGCCATTTTTCTCGTTTTGATAATTTCCCTCCATTTTTGAAAACTACAACCTTTGTCTTATCGATATTGACCTTCAATTTCCATTTGTTACAATAATACTCAAGTTCATTTATTAACTTTTGAAGTCCAGGTACTGTGCTCGAGAACATAACTATATCATCAGCAAAAAGGAGTAGGAAAAGTTTAATAGTTTCTGGATGGAGTTGGATACCCTCGTTACAATTTTCAGATATTTGTATCGAAAGTTCATTTATGAAAAATGAAAACAGGAATGGACTTAGAATACATCCTTGTCTAACCCCAATATTACAGTAGAAGGAATCAGATAAGGTGTTATTGTTTCGAACACAGACCTTCACATTGTGATATATACAACATAGTAATTTACCAATTTAAGTACTGATACCTTGAGATTTGCAAAGGGACCACAACATGTTTCTGTTAATTGAGTCAAACGCCTTAGCAAAATCAACAAATATAGCATACATTTTTTCTCCTTTTCGTGCTAAATATCTCTGTACAAGTGTCTGCAATACAAATACATTATCAATTGTAGAGTATCCATACCTGAAACCGGCTTGTGCTTCATCTATCTTATTAAAGGAATCTGTCCAAAATACTAAACGTTTGTGTATAATACTGGTAAAAATCTTACTGAAAACACTCAAAAGAGTTATACCCCTATAGTTATTGGTGACATTAGTTGATCCCTGTTTGTGCAAAGGAATTATTATCCCCAGAGTCCACTGTTCTGGAAAATAAGTCTTTTCAAGCATAACGTTAAAAAGAATTTCAAGGTAGGGGAGGAGAATATCGGACGAATATTAAAAAAATTCAGGAATTAAATTATCTTCACCAGCTGCTTTATTGCTTTTTAAGTTTGCGATGCTTTCTGAAATTTCATTTCTTGTTATAGGTGAATCAAGAATATCTGAAGTTAACTGACAAAAAGAGTTATCAAATACATTCCATTCGTCGATATCAAAACATCTTTCCTCGTTCTCTGTAGAAGTTGAAAACAGATCCCTGAAATAGTTAAACCAATCATCAATTGGAATATTGTTTTGTGTATTACGATTAGTATTTAGCCCTTTAGGAGTGGCCCAGAATTGTTTAGAATCGCGTATACAATGTTCAAGTTTTTCCTGTTTCTCTTTGAAAAAATTCGTTTTCTTTTCTCTGCATACACTATTATATTTATTTCTAATATAATTATACTCATATAATGAGTTATTATCCTTTTTTCTCCTAAAATTGTTTAAATATTTACATCTTTCCTTTTTGAGTAGCTCACATTCACGGTCAAACCACTGTTGACTAGATGTGTTAGAAGTACACACTCTTTTCATGTCGCTTGCTGCCGTGCACAAGGCCTCTGAAACGCATGCATCAAATGAAAAAATCAAATTATAAAAAAACAGCACACATTTAATATAATACCAAATGAAGCTTTTCAGCACGCGTACAAAGGAGTTAATTTCCGAAACACACTTTCGAGCTAATTTTCTTTCCGAGTCAAGCCTATATATTTAGAACAGTTATATACATCTAAAACATTATTTCTTTTTTTAAATAAAAATTGTTCACTAATTTTGGGAAAAACCCAATAGAGTGATGAATAGATGAGTGAAAAAAATATCGGTAACCCAATGAAAAATGTAATAACCCAATTAAAATAGAATCCCTAGAGTAAAAACTTAAATGCTCAAAAAGTTATCTGGAGCTCTGCACTTTCTACCTCTGAGTAGTTGCATGTTGGTATCAATATTAATGCAAAAGTAAGCGGGTGTATGCTGAATTGACTCTGGTCAAGCAGAGTCCTGCAACTGAAGCACTGACTATTCATACAATCAAGTATGGTATGTAATGGTACGTATACACACCTGAAGACACATATGATGTCCTGGTGTCTTCTGGCAGGCTATCTGATCTAGCTTGTGTTGTTTCAGGTCGATTGTCATTGTCACTCTTGCTTTTTCCCTCTGATTCTGAACTAGAACTCTCTGTTGAGTCGCTGGCATGCTCCCTCTGACTCCCCACCGACAGATCGCCCGTCTCACTGATCTCTGCAGTGTCCATTTCAACAGAGTGTTGACCTTTGGAGTAAAATCGTTTATAGTTTACTAGTATCTGTGACAAATTTCGCATTTTAACAGTTTTTCCACACAATAAAAGTTGGGGCCATGTCACAATTTCGGAATAATTAAATGTTGCAGATGAAAATTATTGACTCCTCTCTATGTGATTTGCGCACTTAGCTTTTATAGTTATTACAGGAAAGGGATGAATGGAAATCTGCAACATTACCGCAGCAACACGAACGAGTGAAAGACATGGTCGTCGGTAATTAAGCTGATGTCCTGGTGTCTTCTGGCGGGCTATCTAATCTGGCTTGTGTTGTTTCAGGTCGATTGTCATTGTCACTCTTGCTTTCCCCCTCCATCCCAACTGAGAAATTCTGAATTTGAAGAGGAATGAGAATTTATTTGATGGGAGTGTATGGAACATTCAGCAATCTTTTAGTATTGTAACTACAAAGTGTGTGTCCGTGTGTTTTGTGTGTGTTGGGGTGTGTGTGTATGTGTGTATGCATGCGTGTGTGCTGGTGTGTGTGCGTTTCTGTGTATGCTGGGGTGCATGCATGTGTGTTGGGGTGTGTGTAGGTCCATGCATGTGTGCATGTGTGTGTGCTGGTGTGTGGGTTTGTGTGTGTAGGGAGGAGGTGCATGCATGTGTGCTGGGGTGTGTGGAGGTGCATGCATGTGTTCTTGCGTGTGTGCTAGTGTGTGTTTGTGTGTGTAGGGAGGAGGTGCATGCATGGGTGATGGGGTGTGTGGGGGTGCATACATATGTTCTTGTGTGTGTGCTGGTGAGTGGGTTTGTGTGTGTAGGGAGGAGGTGCATGCATGTGTGCTGGGGTGTGTGGGGGTGCATGCATGTGTTCTTGCGTGTGTGCTGGTGTGTGTGTTTGTGTGTGTAGGGAGCAGGTGCATGCATGTGTGCTTGCGTGTGTGTGTGTGCTACCTATGTTCACTATTATTTTGACTGTCTGGGTTAACCTCTTTAGCTGAAACTATTTCCGTCATTTTCTCTCATTTGCACATTCACAATCTGCCAACTGTTCCGCGAAGACCTATGGGAAGACTGCAGTATTTGGGCACCAAACCAGAATGATCTCTAATTCAAATGTTTTTGCTACACAGAAAGACCACAAATGGGGGCAACAAGTACCCTCTTAAAAATCTTTTGGTATGATGCAGCTGGGGAATGAACCCCGGACCTTCGCCTCTCCAGGCAGATCATCTACCACTAGACCAGGGAGGCGTTCACTTGTCAGAGAAGTACACAAAGTATGTGATCTAGACTACCAGTTGTTGGACTTTCATTTCGTGGAGACCGCCTCTGTTATTCCAAAATTTACATTTGTTAATAATAGTGAACTTTGTTGTAACTCAGGACTGTAAAAATGTATTACAAACAGCTAAGTCTACACTGCAATGAGAAGGATATTGTGTGACTGAGGATACAACAACAAATGTGTGAATGACATCCCCTGTCTACCGTTTTCTCAGAAGCGCTAAAATGGGGGGACAACCAAGGATAAGATACAAGAAGCTATTCACTGGCTGTTTATTTATGTGATCGGAAATCGGATACTGTGATATGTGTAAATGATCGCCCGGGAGCAGCTGAGAGGACAAAAAATTGACAAAGCAGCGGATTAAACATTGTTTACATATGATGAGCGCTCTTCAGGGGAGACAACTCCTATCCGATCATCAAACACTGACACTGAGGACGTAAACACAGGCAAATATATGTAATGTATTGGTCAGGGCTTGTTTCATTTAGGAGATAAACCTACTGTGTTTTGAAATTTGATGTAGTCCCACTGTGGAATAGATACCTCTTTATTATAATTTTAATATATATAAATTATAATAAAGAGGTTTCAAAACACAGTAGGTTTATCTCCATTCTACCATGACTGCAACATAGGTTGGAAAACGGCGCTCTCTTGCAACGCGCAATTACACAGGTGCACAGGTCCGCGATCTTAGAACATTCCGAAAAGTGGTCACAGGTAGTTATATATGTAACAAATATTACTAAAGTTCAAGATTAAAAAACACCAAAGTCTTGAGTAGTTCATAATAAGTGTTCAAAACACATAGTTTTTTAAACGAAGTTGACAAATAACACTCCTAACTTAATCCAAAGAGAGATGTTTTAATTTCTATCAAACTTTTGCACACTGTTGAACACTGTGGACTGGCTGTCGTTTCTCGGTAATGTGTGCGAGAGGTCATTTCTTGGAAATCGAACATGCCATCGTTTCTATTGTAGGGGTGACGGGTAATAGAAAAAGGTTTTAAAATGCTAAACGAATATATTTCTACAGCAAACTTTATGAATTAACATTCTGATATACATTTAACATGTCTAACAGTTATTAGTTAGAAAGCAATTACCCCCAGTAAACAATAATAACATCAAAGTAAATGCCTCTCCACCCCGAACTTGGATGTGGCAGAACTCGACCTACATCACGGTTACTCACACCTCACAGCTGTCAATGGCTGACAATCATGTGTTTACTTAAGAATTGACCTTCACTTTGTGTGAGTTCATTGGAGTATGAACCTGCATAGAGTCAGGGCCAAACTGTATGAACGTCGGAAAATTTGTGACCCTCATGAAGTGGCAGGACATCACTGGTGGGTGCTGCAATGTATCTGTCATTGTGACTCAGTGTGCGCCTACGTTCATGGCACGTCAATAGTAGTGTTATACATACAAAGGAGTCATGGCTACATAGTAAACGCCTATCGAAGTCTCAGAATGCCTTATTATGTCCCGACTAACGGTCATAGAAATCAGCTGTGTGCACAGAATTATGGATCTACAGAATAGCATACCCGTGACTTTAACAAAAGCAGAGCAATCATAAAGCAACTTTCTTCACCACGTACAAAGGTAACAAAATCCCACTAGTTTTTGTACGCCATTTTGGAAAAACAATTTGAATTGAAAATGACGCCCATTTGAATGGTTTCGACGTCACTTTCAGTTTTCTTTTCAATGTAACAAAGTAAAAACTCTAAATACGTTCATTCGTAACAATGAAATTCGTGAACTGATAGAAGTGATAGTAGTCGTTGAAAGTGTGTGTCGGTTTATGTTCCAGATTTTGAATTGCGTTATCCCGTACAAAATATTGAAAATGTTGCAATGCTAGACGAGCGAGCACAAACGTTTTCTACTTCGGCCCTTAAAATATTATTAGTACTGCATGTGACCTCTGACCTCCATTCTTAGTCACAGTTAACTGACCCCTGACCTGCCTTCTCGGTGAGAAGAGAACAGGAAAAAGGTAAATATGAAATTATAGTTTCAACTCATAAACTCACCTGAGTTGGCTATCGTCGCGTCATCTCCTGGTGTGATAGCCTACAACATTGCGTCCTCACCGTCATCTTCCAGTGTGGTCAACGTATTTGTGGCTATTGTAGTCCTTCGCAAAGACGAAATTGCCTCTTGCAGATGTACCTTATAAATTAAATAAATTATCTATCACTTATTCCGATTTTGTCCTCTGCTTGTACTATCTGGAACGTTGCCAGCCCGTCACTCCCTTGCTTGTCCCACCTGGAATGTCGCCAGGCAAGTTACGTCACACCCGGAATGTCGCCAGACAAGTTAAATCACTTTCTCATTCTTTCCTTTTAGATTCAATCTCCTATAGAAAGAGACTTTTAGGTGTGGTTAGAGGAGCACTGGCCATGTGTAGTCACTTCAATATTTCTAGATGTATTAATGTCAGAAATGCCCTATCCTATCTTTACTCAAGGCCAGCATCGGTCAACTTTCATTGCGGTTTCTAGAGTAAAATGGCAAATCGTGCATAAAAATCTGATATCGTCCTTGTCATAGGTGATTAAATATCAACCCCAATTCATGATACCCACCAAGTCTGTATTGCTATGAATGGGCAGGGGTGGCCCAATCGTCTAAGGCGCCGCGATTCGCTGTGCAGAGTTGCGTCCCTTCGACACGCCAGAAACCTATGATTGTGGGTTCGAATCCCGGTTCGCCACGATTATGTTTCTAGGTTTGTCAGCACCATACCCGTGCTCGTGGGTTTCACCGAAGTGGTAAACGTCTGAGACCTGCATCACTTCGGGCTTTCCTCCCACATAAAGCTGACACGCCGTGATATGACTGGAATACTGTTAAAAGCGGTGTTAAACCCAACTCACTCACTCACGCACTGCGGGAACTAATTTCAATAATAAATATGGAAAACTTTCAACTTCCTTGATTTATTCAAGGACATTGCATTTAGAGATGATAGATCACTGAGAGCAGCTTAAGCACACTCGATGACCCATATGGGCTAAAAAATGCAGTGTTACGAGCGTATATCTTTTTGATATTTGCAATTAGTGATTGGTCAGTTAAACAAAGATCTCTTTTCATTGGACAACGTGACTATCGATCAACAGCTATTCGACCATTAATGAATCACATCAAAATATCAACTCCTGTGCGTGTTTCCTCTTCTCAATGTGAAATCTGTGTCTCTGCTGAAGCACGGCGGCGGCTGTCTGTCAGTGACGAGATCTTGTCAAAACAGGCCTTGATTAAAAAACCTGATGAACCTGTTTGGAAACTTGTCTTCTTTATCAATGCTAGATAGTATGGCTCCGATAGTGAACGCTGTGTAAATCAGACAGAAATGTAATCTTTAAAGTTTTTTAACAAAACTATATTTTTAACGCGTAACAACACGTTAACTGAGTAATTCGATTGGAGTGAGTGGACAGTGTTTTTTCACACGCGGATTGATACAAACAGCTGAATCCTGATCGGTGACAGGTTTTACCTCCTTGAAACATGTCTTTGATGTGATTTTTGGTAATCAATAGAATAACCCGATCGGTACGAGTAATTACAGGAAATATGTCACGAGTGAAATTAGCTCAAATAATTTCAAATATAACATATTTCCCGTAATCACTCGTACCTCGTGGGTTATTCTGTAAATATACTTCATTAAATTTGTATGAACTCTACTATTTGTTATGAAACAAATCAATATTGTCATCATTCTGGAATTCCATAAAACACGAAGTCTGGAACAGGATCATAAGCAAACATCTCAAACTCAAGTTAAAAAATCTTCATCAATCTGACCTTAGCGTCACATGTCAGTGACCCATATGCCTATCTCTGTGCTCATTGAGTTGTGATTGGCTTCATGTGCAGTCACGCAATTTGGATACGTTGACAAACCAGGAAGTGTTATTGTGGAGATTTCTGGACAGTGTAGGTCCCCAGGTCCCCATGGTTGTAATAACATATTGAGTGAGTCAATATTGATTTACGACACACCTAACCATTTGAACTATACAGCGGAGGTCTGTCAATAATTGAGGCTGGACCAGCCAATAGTTGACGGCATGTACCATAATTTAATGATGTAATTGCTGGTTGTTACAAAATGGCCGATTTGATGCAAGTGTAACAAAAGGATTGGATTCAAGTGCATCCGGCATGGATTTTAGGAACGCTTCTGTGTGACACCAAAATGACGAATACGGTCAAAGGGGGACCACTCTTACGTGAACATTAATCACGCCACTTTAACTTGATAGCCGAATGCAGCCTTCTGATTGGCTGCGGCCTGAACGTCCTTGCGTCATGTTCATTGTAGCTTGATTAAACGTTGGAAGATTTCATCACGACGCCGTCCTATTTTGCAGGTAAATATAAGTTTCAGAGGAGGATTTTCGCATTAGAGAATCGTATGTGTGTGTGAAATGTGGTTGATAGTATTTAACAGACTCAAAGCCTTTTCAACGTAAATGGTCAATGAGGGTTTGATTCATTCTAATATCCCAGACTATCGTGATCCTCAATAGGCTGATGTTCTAGGGCAATAATATAGACAACATGATTTCCCAAAGAACCATACATACAAGTTATAAGTACATAGGTACAGTGTACAGAGGGTCTGAGTGTCTGCCCTTGCAGTGGAGCAGCTTGACTGTACTTGTGCGTTGGTGACTTCCTCGAGAATGGTATGAATGTCAACGCACCAGTACTGAGCCGTTAGCGTTGAATCCATATCAGCCGCAAATAGCAGCTATCCTACATACACCATGTGGGCTACGATGTACTGCACACATTTCAAGTGTATGACGTGTGATGCAGAGAGGAAACGGAGTACACTGAATGGACAAGGAAGCGCCAGTACAAGGCAGTGGATGTTGCAAAGAGAAGGTTTTTTGATTGGTATGTTACAAAAGCTAAGCGACAATACGTAGAAAAGGCTATAGCTGATATTGAAAAGCTTTGCGATTCAGAAGTTGACTTCTAGAAGAACATTGGAAATTAGGTGACTGAGAATATATATGTAATGAAATGACTATCAATGCCCCAAATAAAGATCAATCCACTTAAGAAATCCGCCTGTGTACAGAACCACAAGCATAATAAATTATTTGTGGAACAACGCCTATTGAAGTTGCCATCAGTTACAACCATTTAGTATTGCTACTCACAAAACATTTAGATTATCAAACATGGCACTAGGGCTCCTGATCCTCAAGTTTGTGTGGCATGAAGTATAATACGTACACTAAACTGTACGACTCCATGGTGTGGTCTACAATCCAGCACAGAGCAGCAGTCTGGGGAAACCACAACCTCTCGTGTATGAATGCAATTCAAAATAAGGCTGTGAGACTTTTATAGGCCTTAGAGAATTTGCTCCAAGTAATTCTGAATCAGGAGACTTTGGATGGGTACCTTTAACAATACGACATTTGGAGACCGTACCTAAGTTATATTAACGCTTTAGGTTTCTTCAACACAGAATACGAAGGAAAGGTTTTATGTGGGCCAACAGACGTGATGGATAAGAAGAGGAACTGGATTCGTACAGTTCATTCCAAGTATAAAGACTTAGTACTAGGAGGTTCATTTCAACGGATTATGGTTTTCATTATCGTCATATTAGTAAAGATGGTGCTGGGGTTTAACGTCGAGTCCAAGATTATTGCACTTATATAGCGACGTGCATGTATGTGTGTGTGTTTGTGTGGCTGCTTGTACTAGTCCGGACTGATGCCGATTTATAGTGCTGGCCCACTGAGATACCATGCCGCAGTTTAACATGAATACCCCACTCAGACACAGTATACCGACTCCGAGCCGACCAGTCCTAGTTTTAGCCCCTTAATGCCGAGCGCCAGACAGGGTAACAACAAGTACCATCTTTTAACGTCTTTTGGTATGACGCGGCCGGGGATCGAACCCCGGACCTTCCGCTCTCCGGGCGGACGCTATTAGTAAAGAAGTGAGAGAAAGTATTTGAGAAGTACAAAAAAGGTTGACTGCATCAATAAACCAAGTTAACAGTTTAAGGGGTAACGGAGGAAACAAACTACGTCTGTACAACCAGTTGAGGAGCGAACACAGTGTGGAATATTTCAACCAATTTGCCATGTCTAAATTAAATCGTAAATAGCCAGCAGTTTTTAGGAGCTGGATGACTCCTATTCGATTGGAAACTGGACGGTATACAAAGGTACATCTAGACGGGAGAGTGTGTGTTAACTGTAACAGCTGCGTTGAGGGTGAGATACATGTGTTATTACACTGTCCAGTGTATAATGACGTTCGTCCGGTTTTACTGAAAATACAAAATGAAAGTGATCATTTAAAGTTTGTTTTATCCTGGACCGTCCCAGAGCTGTAAGGGTCAGTGCCAGAAACTGCAAAACTATCTTAAATCTGTGCAAACATTAATATCAGAGCTCAGGTTTATATAGTTTCTAGTTTATTCTGTATTGTATGTAAACGTTTTTACGTAAAGGTATCCTGGTTTATATTTAGGAGATTGTTTTTTTTCAAAATATGCATTGAACATACATCTAGCCCCTCATAACCCCCAAAACTAATGGCTCAATTTTATGTCACAGTACAATGTTTAATATGTAAAAATAAGGTGAGACTCAAATTAACTAGGAGTCTCTGTCTGTCTGCAAAACCCTGAAATAAGGTGTAATCCCCAGTCATCTAAATCAGATCGCACAACCTCTGCACGTGCACTTACACGGAGAGTAGTTACAAAGAATAACAACCAGCTGAGACAGTGGTAGGATATTAACAGTAACAAGCAGGTTGCAACTGAATTTTATATCTGAAAAATAGTGACATTACAACAAACAATGCATTTCATCACCGATTGCATTTTTACATAATGCATAATTTCTCTTCTTTAAAAACAGCTTTCATTTTCAACAGGTAACTTGAGATTAGCAGTTCTAAAGCAAGTAAGACAAATACTTAGGTCAGATGGTAATAATATCAACTGTTTCAACCATGACAAACATGACATTCAGAAGTGGAAAGTTGTAGTCTTGATTACATTAGGTAAACGAAATATCAATTTGCAAGCACTATCTGAGAGAGTGTTATCAGATGGTAGAAATTTTCACCAGTACGAGATCATACTTTAGTGTACCTGCTGAGTTGATATTCCCCCAGTTAGCCATGTACATGTCGCGTACGCGTTGATTGTTATAACTAAGGTATGCCAATATGTTTAATACATTTTAAATGTACATGTTCCAAGAGTATTGGTTTCTCAAAGCTCCTATTTCTG